TTTTTTTTTTTTTGTTTGCTCTAACATTTATTTATCATTTATTTATCATTTATTTATCATCATATAAAAATATTCTACAATCTGTATCTACGGTTAAAATTTATGCTATAAAAAAGAAAAAGCAAAAATATATGAAACCAAAATAAAAGTAAGTAAGTAAGTCTCCACTTTCTCTCTCTCTCTCTCACACACTCTCTCTCATTTCTCCTCTAATGGCTGACTTCAAAATAATTTGTAATAATCATTAAAAAAGGTTTCTTTTACATAATTTCAAGTTACCAAGACCTCTTACTGCGAATGGACAAAGCTCTAATTGTGAAAAGATTTTCTAAAAGTGACTACAAATTTTTTAAATAAAAAAGAAAAAAAGTATATTTAAGAAAAGCTTTAGTTCATTTGTTCTGGACAATATTTTGAGATCACATGTCTAGATTTAATCGACAGACAATAGACGGATAAAGCTCGATCGACATCAGTTCCATCATTCAAGCACTACGTAAGACACACTTAATAAATCTGTGAACTTGAACAACGTAAGAATCGCGTTGATTACAGTATTTGAAAAACATTATCAAGGATTTCGATTAAAATGACACTAATAGAACATCGTCGTCAACTGTTTTTTTCTGGAATATTCTGAACTATTCTCAAAGCAAGTATATATGTTTCTATGTTTCCCGTTATAATTTAAATTTTGGCGATATATAAACATTCATTAAAACGTAGATTAGAATAAGAAATACTTTTTTTTAACGGAGGCGGTAACTGATTCAAGAATTTGCAAGGACCTCGACGTAGGTGGAAAATCTAATATTACTATGAACTTTTTCACTTTTTTTTTTATTTGACAATAATTTAATCATCATAGCAAGCATGTGAGGTTTAGCATAGGATTGTACAGAATGAAAAAAAAAAGAAATATCCATCGTCGATTTTGTATATATATGTATATATATATATATATAGATATATATTCTTATATATATGTAAGTATTCTTAAATAACGTGATTGTCGTATTCGCGATAGTAGTTCCCGCCTATCTGTTAATATCTGTTAGTACGAAGGTATCATTCGTCTATCGGGACTTTCGTCTCAACATTGTCTTTACGACGCTATCGTTCGAGAATAAAATCAATTGGTCCATGGGTACACATAACAAACTGAAAATGATCATTTTTTCTTAATAATACATAAAATAATTCGAAATTTCAAATAAATATTTTTCATCATTCGCATACAACAACAACTGTAGAAATTCTATATTTGGGAACCCTCGTCCAATAAAAGCTAGAATCTCTGCTGACAAATTGAATTTTCTTTCTCGCTTTTTGCTATCAAACGTCTTTACTGAAGCTGATCGCAATTTCTTTCCAATTCTATTAAATCATTTTTTTTTTCTTTTTCTATAAGAATAATTTACTTGATATTTGCTTTTTCTTTTCCAAATGCAGTTTGGATTAAAATTCATCATTTTTTAAGAGTAAAGAACAGCATTGTTAATATGAACATTTACCTGGACAAGGACAGTAGTACGCTTGCTTGGCTACTGCTGTTAATGCAGAAAAGAGAACAAAAAGGACATTAAGACAGCGAGATTCTTGTTGATTGTTGAGCTTCAAGCACGACACATAGATAGATAGTATTTTTAGGTAAAACGAAATAGGGAACGTATCTCTTAAAGCCAACATGCAATGCAATTGCGGTTTTCTTGAATATATCACAACAACAAATCTTATTATGAGACACATGTAAAGTTGGAGACTAAACAAAAGTTCTAATAAAAAGAAAAAGAGAAAACAAGAAGAGATTAAAAGGTAATAATTTAAAGAAAACATTGAACTATTTTTTTTTTTTTTTTACATAAATAAAACAAAATAAATATTTGTTAATTTGTTTGCAGTTATTATTTTCAAGTTTTTCTTTTATATTTGTTTCTTTTCCTATTTTCTTTTTATTTTTGTTTTTTTTTTAATTTTTTTTTTTTACTTTAAATTTTTTAAAATTTATTTTTTTTTTTTTTTTTTTTTTTTTTTGTTATCTGGGATTCTTTATAGATCTTATGTTAGATTTTCTATAAATTGTAGTGAATATTTTACAATGTATAAATTATTTATTACTTAAGGACTAAGTTTTGTAATAAAGGGAGATAAAGGGGATATGGATAAAGGAAAAGACCCTTTGCAGAGTCTTTCAGTCATTGAAAATAAAAATATGAGTAAAAATGTTCAAATTTACCAAAATATTAAGCAGTGATTGCAAAAAAAAATATATATATATATATATATATATAAACACACTTTAATGATAAAAAAAAATCATTTTACAATCGTGTATAGTCACAATTAAAACTTAATATAAAAATAGGTCATAAAAAATATATAATATTGTACTCTTTATACAATAATGAAAAAAAAAAAAAATTCCTAGATTGCAACTGGGAATACAAAATGAAATAAGGGGCGCCATGGTCTTGATTAAATGAGAATCATTATTTTATATATAAAAAAAAGAAAGAAAAAAGAAAAACACACACACACACACACACACAAAATTTTAATCTACGTCACTATTGGCTGTTGTCCGATTTTTTTTTTTTTTTTTTTTTTTTTGCAATTTTCCTAAGCGAAAAAATTGTTCTATAATAAACATGATAAACATTAGACAATCAATTTGGAAATTTTACACTAAATATTATAATTTTTCAAGATTTTTTCACTGTTAAAAATGAAAATGAAAAAAAAAAAAGTAGAAAAACATCACATAATATCAAGGGAACGTAAACGTGGCTGCGTAATGCGCATACGCATGTATGTGAGTACGTTAACCCTGTTAAAAAGTTTCACATATATGTTATATACTATTTATATGTGCGTGTGTACAGGCGGGAAGAAAGGAGAAAATGTAGGATGAAGAGACGGCGGACAGTGGGATATTTGTTTTTCGTTTTTTGTTTTTTGTTTTTTGTTTTTTGTTTTTTCTTTTCTTTAAAACTTAAATAAATATTCATGATCATAACATCTTTTTATAATGGATTGTTCTTGTGGTCCTTGTGTGACTTGCGGCAATGATGACGACGATAGTGATTTTGGTGACAATGAGAAGAAGGTCGCTATTGTTGCTGTTGTTGTTATTGCTATAATTAATTGCATGGACAACGGCAGCGTTATGTTGCTTTAATAGCTCCCACATATTTGATTTGCAATGATTTTTATGCTGTAGAATATTATTGGATATATGTGGGCGGTGGTGGTTTGTTGTTGACGTTGTCTCATCGCTTACAATTTATTGCTACCGTCTGTTGATAAGACCATTTGGTGGAGCGTTTTGACTTGCCGTATACATCAATTCTAATTCCACTAATAATGGAAAATGATCGGAGGGTATATGCGGATGCGGGCAACCGACAACTTTATTATCGCGTAACCAATCATTCGATATTGGCCCTAAAAGGCCCAACGGTACCATGCCCGTTTTTGTATAGAAAATATAATCGATAATTCCCTTAAAATCAAATGTATAATTCGTGTGTGGCATAATGTCCTCGCTGTAGGCCGAGGCCAACTTAAAGGAATGCGTAAACTCATTCGAGTCATTAGAGAGTAAACGTTGCAGGCACGATTTGTAACCCATATCCTTAAAATCACCATGATCCATAGAGACGCGTCCCTTACTCAAAAACTCAATTACACCAGAATCGGGCAATGAATTGAAATCACCGCACAGTAACAATTGAACACTGTTCGTATCACTTTTATGACCCGGACGAAAACTGTGACTGGCTTCATCAATAATTGATTTTAGTTCATTGCTCAACATCATGGTTTGCACGAGTTTAACATCGCAAAATTCCGGATCCCAATGTATATGAGCGGTACACACTAGCAATGGTTGAGTGATTTGAGTTACTTCGGTCATTGACTCCCAGGCAGAATCTTTTATTTTTAATAAGGCCGCCAAACCAATATTATCCTTGGGCATTACACGATTTAACATATTATCTGAACCTTCGGCATTCGCCATAGCCAACTGATTGAATTCGATCAAATGCTCTTTAATCAGAGCAAATCTACAAATAAATTTTACAAATTATAAATATTTTTATATATGTTTTTAAGTATTTATATATACAAATATGTGCTACATATATATATCGTATATGAAATATATATGTATAGTATTTCTTATAGCATACTTTGCGGCACGAAAAAATATAGCGCAGCCATCCACAAATTTGCGTTCCACCTCTGACATGGTCTTTGCTCGTGACTTCGGCGAGAATATACCCTCAAAACCTTCGTTCTTTAATTCGGGTAAAAAGAAATTATAAAATTGTTCCGTTTCAATTTCTTGCAAGCTAATAATATCAGCCGAATAATGACGTATTTCATCTAAAATAGCCTTTTTCCTGTATTCCCAACTTAAAGCCCATGAAGGGCAATAGCCGTACATTTGTCGTGTAGCATATTTATCACACAAAACATTATAACACATTACGGTAAAGATACCTGCAAAGAATTTACATTAGATTAGATAGATATTATATATTAACTAACTAACTATATGAGAGGATTAAAATGCATGAAAAAAAAAAATTTAAAAAGAAATATTTGCGTAGAATCGAAACTAATCGAATAATGTTTAGATTTACTAGGTATGTGAATATGAAACCGGAAATTGACCATAGAGATGGCCGTAACCTAACCTAACACCAACAAATATCAAATAACAAAAGCGTTATTTCTAACCGCGAAAAAATCGAGTTTTGTGTCAAGTAAAGAGAGCATTTGCTGACAGCATTTTTCTGCGCTCGAACGGTATGGAAAAGTTTTTCTTGGCTTCGTATCCTAACAGGGAATGAAAAGTGGATGGACTTTCAGAACTACATTGCTAAATTCAGATGTGTCATCCACATCGGCTTGCGACGCTTGGTGGCTTCGGCACGAAAAGCCTATTCTCTATTTGATGGGACCCGAAGGGTGTGGTTTGCTATTAATTGTCTAATGAAGTGATGAAAACTAACCGCTACGAACGGCAATTAATCGATTTGAACCGTTCCTTGGTCAAAAAAACAAGCGAAATATAAAGAATGACAGCCGCAAGGTCACTTCTTAGATGGCGTCCGTCCGTCCAAGCGTACAGCAGAACTGGGTCGCACTACGTTGCAAATACTCAGTGAAAAGTGCTAACCCATGCAGCTTACGATGTTTTCAATCAACGCTTGCTTGCATCGATGGTACACACACTTGGTGAACAGCGCTTGTTACAAAAATCTATCAAAATGTTTCGCTAATTGTTTTGCCTCAAAACAGCAACAGTTGTTTTGGTCTGGCATCCACAAATTGTTAGGCAGGCAGGAAAAATGTGTCGCTGGCGATGGACAATACTTTGAATCAAATTTTTTTCAAACAACAAAAGTTTTTTTCTAACCAAAAATTCCGGTTTCATATTAATACACCTGATATTTACCCAGGAAAATGTAGTAAAGGGTTTGATAATCGTAGCTTCTTAAATTCTTACAGATTTATTACAACGACATGGTCGTAATACGAATGTTCAATGATAAGCGGTTTAGGATGGTTGAGGCTCGGTCTTATCTGGCTATAATGTTTTAATTTTTTTTTTTTTTAATTGTTATCAATAGCATACAATCCAAAGCGGATAAGGATTTGAAATTTAGCTCGAATATCTATTAAAGCCTCTCCTATCATAAAATAACATTGGCACGAAATTGCTCCTCTACCTAAAAGCGATAAGCAACATTCAAGATAACCCCCGAGACTCTAGTTTTGTTTTCATATTTCTTTAAAGTTGATATTGAAAGTCTTTTTTGAAGATGGAAGCTTTTCATGTTCTTTCAAGTATAGAATTTATTAATTAACCTACAAAAAAAAAAAAAGAATTGTCGGACTATTGGCTTCCGTTGAGAGAGGATATTGAAAATTTATATACGAATATAATTCATTTTAAGTTTTTAATCTTAAATTAAATATAATACTTACATGATGGCCTGGCTTTACTGGGTTTCGCTAAAGGTATCCACGGCCTTTGCGGTGGCGGCGTTGCAGAAACTAAAATGAAATAAAGAATAGAATTTCTGTCTTATTAATAAAAATTACAAAATTACAAAAATTTACTTATGCGCGCTAAAGCAATAAGAAAAATTCCCCCTTTATAAGAAAAAACAAAATAAATAAAAAAAAAACGGAGCAACATATTTATGCTTTAATTAACAAAGTAACATTTTGTTATATATTTACAGTTTAATGTGTGTGCATGCATTTGTTGTTGCTGTTGTCATTTATGAAAGAGCCAATGGTGAAAGTAACCCACAAATTACTTCCGTCTCTTTACAAAAAAAAAAAAAAAAAAAAAAAAAAAAAGAGCAGCAACACAACAAACCGAGGCCATTTAACAGATTTAAAACGATGACGCACACAAAAAGGTGAACGAGAGCACAATATTTGACTTTAGAAAGAAAAATATGAGTGAGCCTACATACGAATGCGTTTTTTGTCTTTTATTACTTTTTTTTCAAAAATTATTCTTTAAATCAATAATAGAGTAAATCTCATATGAAAACAAATCAGCTTATGGTTGAGGTTGTGCAAGTTAATGCATATCTTAAATAATTACTTTACCAATATTTACAAATACGAATCAATGTTAATTTGCGCTTGTCATATCATTCATAATCATGATCAGCTTAGAATTAAGCTTAATTATAGTTTTAATCATTAACTTTATACCACCATAAATGCAAGAAACATTTATATATGAAACTATGAATTCTTCTTAAGTGTAAACGAACCAAGAAGAAAATGAAGAAGAAGAAGAAGTAGTAAATAAATACAAACAACAATAAGCAATATTTTTGCTTATTAATGATTATCTGTTGCTGTTGATATGATGACAGAAAACTGGTTGATTAGTAGTGAAATGTTTGCTTTTGCTTTGGCTGAATGCTGTTTTTATTGTTCGCATTCTTAATAAATTGCATGTAAGGAAAGGTCAGTACTGCCATATGGGAGTAAGAAAATGGTCTATGTTTTCCTTTCATCATTTTATCATCAACGAAAATTTACTCCATTTCTAAAAAGGTATTTGGCTTATACATGTTCTCTTACAAGAACAAGAAGAAGAAGAAGAAAAAAAAAAAAAACCATCGAATTGAATATGAACAAAAAGATGAGGATTGCCTTGACTTTAATCCTAATAGTCTGTCTTCTAAGCCTATTTGAAGTTTGAATTTAAATTTTTTGATGACTTCTTACTAAGCATTTATTATATCTTCAGGTTTCAATACAGGCTCGCAGATGAATTTATTTATTTATTTTTTTTTTTTGTTTATGATAATTAAATTCAATTACTGCCTTGACGCTGTCACGATTGCTTGACCTTTGTCGAAATATCATTCATTGTTGCTTATATAATTGATCGATCACTTTACAGAAAAGAGCTTAAAAAGTGAGCAAAATTTCGACTTTTGCTTGAATGTCTCAAAATTCCCGCAAGACAATGCGCAACAATGATTTCATTTCGTTAACTATGAATACATTACATAAAAGATTTAGAAGGTCCCGATCAAATATTGCTCCCAAAATTCTCTGCTCATCTCTTAACACAAAACATCAAAGCAATTTGTGAGAGTTCACGGACAACAATTTGCACACCATGGTCAAAACAATGTACAAATTTATGTTAGATGACTAACTATATATATGTAAATGTCACCTTCAGCTTTTCCTTCCCTAAATACATACATACTACTACTACATAGTAGATAGAATAATCTATTATATATCGTTTTCCCCTCTCAAAAGTAATGCTCCCCGTCATAACTATATTAGTGTAAATAAAATTGGAAACAACAGCAATTCCCCCTGAGCTAATATAATATTTACGGTTTACGAAAACAATGTCATTCATTACAAACTTACAATATGCATTTCAAATCTTCACGTTAGAGTTTGAAATTCAACTTTCTAAACCAAATCGGATGCTGCGTAGCGTAGCCTCTATTCACATTTCAGCTCATAGCTGTCTATAAGAAAGCAAACAACTGATGTAATAAATCTTCGATAAATGCGCGCAAACAAAAAACGAAAAACAGCAATAAAAAATTAAAAAACGTGAAGGTTGTCTTGCTAACGAATATGTGAACACAAATTGCGAAGTAAAATGATTGCATGAAAGTGGAAAAAATCATTTATATCAAATTAAGAGGAGCATGCATCAACTCTCAAAGCAAATATTTTTTCATTTTTATTACTAATTTAATCAAGGATATAGAAAAATATTGCGTACATGTTTAGACGGCGATATGAAATTCTTTGTAGTAAGTAAAAAGGAGGATAAAATTCTAAAACCAATCATATCAACAGTGCACTCGTACGAAATAATTTGTGATATTTATGATTGCGTTTTAGTTAACGCATTATCTAAGGGGCCATGAGCAAGGGGCAAAATGTATTGTCCAAGCACTCTATATAAATGGGGCACAAGTAACGAAATTGCATTCAGCTATGCCCGAAAATCTTCTTACTTCATTTACTACTACTACTACTACTACTACTGCTTTTAACTTAACTCATGTAGTGGGAATGTAAAGTAAATGTGTAAACTTCAATGACATCACATTTCCAAATTGATTAAAAATCACTCGTCAACATTGTATTTTACCCTCTGTGTGTTCTTTCTGTGGTGTAAACGATGCAACATTTCTTCACCTATTGGTTTCTTGTCTATGCTTTCATCATTTAAGAACTCGACTTTCCCGCATCATTTTAAACTTTCAGAATATCTTCTTCCCTCCGCGTTGCACCTTTTTTTTTTTTAGCTTACAATTTTTAATTGCAAGTTAATCATTAAAATAAATGAATAAATCATATGCAAATGTTGGATGGGGGAGGCTGGAGAATCACCACCTATAGGGTATGATTTAAAATTTTTATCGATCTGGCGCCAAAAATCAAATTTTTTTTTTTTTTTTTTTTGCTTTTGAAAGAGTAAGGCGTGCGTACTATAGGCGTGTTCTTTGATCAGTTTCCCATATTAACTTGTATGCAAGGACTTGTAATGTGTTGGCCACATTTAAATTGGCGAATTTTTGCCACACACACTCCAAACAGTCGGACGGATGGACATGTCAAGAATTATTCCCTATTTAACGTATTTATATATGTATTTAATAGGGCCTCTGAAGCTTCTTTCTGGGTACAGCAAACGTTTGAACAGAATGAATACACTTCCAAACCCTTAGTAGAGGCAGTTGCTAAATTTGAATTTTTTGCACACCTACACAAACACACAGACACATGTTTATAATTTCATAAATTATATTTTCATTACATTTCATCTTTTATGTCATCAGCGACATTGCAATGTAGAATGGCTGCATGAAGCAAGTGCATCTTCGCTCTGCTTTCAATAAGTGTACCAAGACAGATAGATAGATAGGTAGATAGATTTATTATTGTAACCACTGACCCTACTTGAAAGCTGGCGAAGGTCAAATTTCGTATATTTTATGATTACACAAGGTCAAGAATTAGATCAACATTAGGTGAACTAATGGCATCCTCTTGCCTCATTAAAGCGTAAATTGCTTTTCATTGAATTTTGCGATGATAACCAGCACACACAGGAGGAGAGCTTTGGGAGAAATTGAGCAATCAACGGATGTCCAATTGTATCCGAAATGTGCAGTAGAAAATAGAAATCTTCTGAAAACCTTTGCTCAGAGGGGGGGGCTTTTTTTCTTTTCTTTGACGAAAATATATTTAAAAGATTATGTTATTGATTTTTTTGGCTTCTCTTTCACTTTACTAGAGCATAAAGATTTGTGAAATGTGATCTCGTCTATTAAAAAGGTAAATCTGCAAAAATTTTATTTTATATATTTAATATTATTTTAATTTTCTATTGTTATTTATGAACTATGGTTTGTTAACGAAGGAAAATAAGTTTTTATATTTTTTTTAATAAAGCACTTTTTATATTTCAATTATAAGCACAATTTATCAACTCATCAGAGATTCACCCTCTAATCCAATCACTTTTCATTTTATTTAATGTTGATGAACGACGAACACAACTAAGTTTTGCTTTCTTTTGTTTTATCTTTTTTTAGTGATTTTTATGTGATTTTATTTCACATTATAGTGCGAGCGACGGGAAACTTTCACTTTTTACAAAATGTCTAAAAATGTATTTTTTCTTCACTAATGATTTTTGTTTTTTTTTTTTTTTGTTTCTTGCTTTTTTTTGAAGTGACAGCAACTCTATTGTTTTTATGTTAAAACAAAACAAAACAAAACAAAAAAAAAAAAAATAGAGATAATAATAAACTGTTTTATTATTCATGTAATTTATTTATTTTATCTTAAAAAGAAAAGATTACAACAAAAAGGCACAGTATTCGTCTACATCTTTAAACATTTCGCCTTAACGTGACATTTTATTTCTCAGACTATCTGAAACACCTAGAGACCTGTCCAGCGAGGATAGATTGCAAGGGTTATAGGGGAGAAGAACTTTTTTGCACGTTTTTATTAAGTTTCGCAAACTAATATTTCCACCACTACTACAGCGAAACAGTATAACAGTCAATAGCTAAAAGTGCTATCAGGTATCAGGATCTGTCTGGGGAATGTAAAAGGAGTTTTCACTGAATGCTGCAAAGCTGAAACGATGATATCATTACCTAAATGTCCCATCTGGTGTAGTCCGCAAAACCTGATCTGTCTACCTGAAGAGTTTTGAAAGAGTTTTCACATTCTGTGAACCCCTCCGCCAATTGCGTAAAGAAAATGCTTTCCTATCCTTAAACATGTAATAAAGACGCGATTTTTTTTTATCCTCTTCAGGAAACTAATGTCATAAAATATATATATGATCTTTAAATTTTTTTATTGGTTTTTCCTAGGGATTCTCATACAAAAGCAATTTTCAATCGAAACCTAAAGTTGACATAAAATGTTGATAGGTGTCGCTTAAAGAATGACAGCAAATATCCAATTGATTTTGCATTAGCAATGCTTTCAATACGCTTAGAAGCTTAAGGGCGACT